CCATAGTTATTTATTTAGGGCATGTCGCCTATTAATATTATTGGTTGCGGTCCTATATATAAAAGTGGATCATGCCGATCATTATTATTATTATTTTTTTTTAAACGCGTTTTTCAAAATGATCCAAACAAGCATAGAAGAGCATTCAGATTGGTTTTATAAACAACAAATAAAAAGGAAAGCTCGTAAAGAGTCGGATTTTTACACCATTTTTAACCCTTTTGATGAAGAGTGTTTGAAAAAGTATGAATATGTTTCTATCCAAGAAAGAGATAAAATAATTGATATTCTTGATGATACTTGTTTGAAGGAGTATGAACTTAATTCTATTCAAGGAGATAATCTTTATAATAATGGCAATAACTATACCAATGGAAATGTAAAAGGAAAGAATGTAAATAACAACAATTAACTAATAATAAAATTGATATTGGCATTAAATACAGTAATGTGATTTACAATCTTAATTTTTATAATTATGTATTTATTTAATCTATTATTAGGAAATGTGTATAGAAGTACCTGAAGAGACAACCCTAGCAACATATAAAAAATACTATCCAGAAGAAGATAAAATATCTGACATTCTTGATGATGCTTGTTTAAAGGAGTATGAACTTAATTCTATTCAAGGAGATAATCTTTATAATAATGGCAATAATTATGCTAATGGAAATGTAAAAGGAAAGAATGTAAATAACAACAATATCATTGATTATGATTATGATTATGATTTTGATGATATACCAACAACCTCGGTAAAAAAAAAATCTTTTTGATTCTTCAAGTATAAATGATTATTTGAATTTAATTATAGAATTAGATAATAATATCTATAATTTCATTGAAAGGATTTGCACAGTAACATGTTTTTACAATTTTAATTTTTTAATAATATATTTATTTAATCTATTATTAGGAAATGAGTATAGACGTACCTGAAAAAACAATCCTAGCAACATATAGAGAATATTATTCAATAACAAGAGATTTATTGAAATTAATTTATGAGAAGAATAATTTAAAAAACTCAAAGATATTAGAGTTGGAAAATGAAAGGTATCTTCAATTCAATTAATATGCTAAATATTAATATATTTTAATTCATGAGACATTTGTTTATCATTAACATTAAAAAATATTGGCAACTATTTAGGAAAATATTGTCTCAAAAAATTGATAAAATTGATGCTAATCATCAATCATCATCATCATCACCACCGCTACAACCATCAATTTCATTTCTATACTCCATTATTCTGTTTTTGTCATACTTTGCATCACTAACATGGATAATTTTAGCAGCATAAATCTTTTCATCATTACAATTATTTGATCTAACTTTTTTAATTATGCATGTTTTGCCAGTTTTATCATGGTCATTACTATCATCTTCATTATTTATAACATGATACCTTTCTCCTGATTGAGCAGGCAAACGATTATTTTCTTCTGCAATTATATTTTCATAATCAGTTTTGGCATCTTCAAAAAATTGTACATCTATATAAACATAATTGAATAAATAAAAGATAAACCAAATATACAAACATAAACATATATGTAAATTAATTGTTTTATACTACTTACAAAAAAAGCCCCCTTCAACCTTGATTGAAATTAGATCATTATGATTTAAAACCTGTTCTTCATTCCATTTCAACTGTATACCATTAAGATGAGTTCTTGTGTTCCAGCCATTTTTTAAAACTGTTTCAAAATTTAATTCCTTGACATAATGCATTTTGTCTGTTTTTCTCTAATGGATAATAAATAATAATATTATTATTATAGAAATGATAATGATTTCAATATGTGCATATAATAGATATGAATGATTAATTAAGCTATTGTTACTTACAATTGTAAGTATACATTGTATACTTGCAACAAATGGGTGGCTAATTGTCAAATTGGCTGCTAGTAAAGACTAGTGCCGTAAATTATGATGATGGTAGTAATTGTATTTACGGCATATAAAAAGTGGTTGCAATTACCT